CGCCCATTACGAGTTGCCCCCATTTCGAATGCTCTTCCAGACAAAGTTATCACAGCCCCATCAGTGGATAGCCTTGAGAGGAAACTTGACAAATACGTACTCACCCGTAGATTACTATCACCTTCTTGAACCAACTATGTCCAAAGCATGTCTCATAAATTACCACGATTGTCATTACCCAATGATTATCATCGCCGTTTCCCTTCTTGTTCGTTTAATTCCGTCTTCGTCAACATTACCAATTAATTAGTTAACTTATTTAATTGGTTGTTGAAACAGTCCTCTTCTCTTAGCACTTGAATTATCGCTTTATTATTTTCACATTACAACCAATCAACCTCTTCCCTAGTAATGTGGTAGTTTCTGATACCAAAAAACCCTGCTGTTCTGAGACAAGCGTACTCACTCAAACTACAATATATACAAATCCATAAATAACTACCAAATTGACTAGAATTAGAGCCACCGTGCAGTTAGACTACCATCCACTAGACATTATCGAATACTTAAAGCCGTGCCGAAATAACAAGAGGTGAGTGCAAAGAAATCAATTAGTTTTTACAAGATCGTCACAAATATATTAGCGATACTGGAGATTCTGCGCATAGTTTGGAAGGTGCGTTACTCAACAGGGCGACTGCATATGTATTATATTCTATCGGTTTCAACATATGATCACCAGTTTTACTTATAATGGTTGAATATTACTGAATCTTGGGACAAGATTTACTAATTTGAGTGGATTCTTGGAAAATAATCCTTAGTCTTGTAAATCGACACTTAACGAATTATAAAGATTGAAATAAACACCTCATAGAATATTCGACTTTGAATTCATACAGTCGTTTCACTTAGCACTTATATTCTAAAATATGATTGATTCTAGCTAGGATCATTAGTTTAAGTAGTTAACATCCCTGTATAACCAAAGGAACACAAAAAGGGGAAATAAAGGGGTAAATACTTTGGAAGCGAAATAAGAAAACGCGCCAGAATGTCGCCTTTTTCGCCTGTCCGGGGGAAATAATGCGGATTTTCGCCGTTCTGTCGATAAATGACCGACTTTTCGCCTGAATTTCCGCTGAATTGTCTACTTTTCGCCTAAATATCAGCCGAATTACCGACTTTTCGCCTAAATTCCCGCTAAATTGTCTACTTTTCTCCTAAATATCCACTGAATTACCGACTTTTCGCTATTAGTTTAAACTAATAGCTATTAATCCTAACTCTATTTTCATTCCAATCCATCTCGTTGTATCATCTAAAGATACTCTATGTCTTATTTGTGGTCGGTTCTAACTCCTTAGCTATCTGGTATTATTCTTGTTGTTACTCACAAGGGCTATAGTTTTGATTCTTAAGTGAAGCAATCTAAATTTATCATGATAACATATATCTATAGTTGTATAATTATGTAAATAAAATCTAAATATTAACTGTATTGCCTCAGAATCTCTCGTCTATTGTTCCTGGGTTTAATGAGCGAACAACCATATTGAGGAGTGAAGTGCTATGGTTTGGTTTTAAATGCCCTAGAACTTGTTAACTGTTTATGTGGAAAATGTTAACATGCCAAACTTTATTGTTTCTGGTTGCAAACTTAGCTGTTTTATTATTAACAAACGACGTTTTGCCATTAGAAATAAACAAATATATCAGGCCATTTCTGGTCTTCTTTTGAAAATTTAAGCATGAACTGTTAGTTGCGTTGGGACGTCTGCTTTATTTTGCGTGTACTTTTGTTATCTTCATATTAATTAGATACCAGGGAATTTTCAGTTGGCATTATTTGATCGCTTGCTATCTTCGTGTTTAGCCTTTGTACTGTAATAGTGTTATCAAAATGTTGATATCACATACAGGTAGAAATTGTATTACCTTGTCTGAGAAAGTCTTGTGGTCAGTCAGCAATAGTCAGAGAGGAGAAAATATACCATGTCTTTACTTGAATGGAAATCGTAGGTTCACATATTAGGCCTCAACCAAATATATTCAAGGGCAGCAAGTTTTATGTTCCTACATATATAAATGAATAAAATAAAGACCTTTTAAGAATGCAGTCGCTGATGTACATAGGTACTGTGCTAGAGTACTCAGACTACGTAGTTTTATTTGGTAAAAAGATAATAAAATACAGTCTTCTGATCGCCTTTAACAACAGTGCAATCATTATTATTATTAATTTATTTTAACACATAGATGTTGGTACAAGGAGGCACCAAGTACATATGCGCCACACAAATCTCATTTGATATGTGTGAGGACTGTGTTACTGACCGGGTGCCCAAACTGAAGCAGCTGGTTTCCTTAGGGGGCCACACCCGGAGCCTTCGACCTGAAGGTGTGATTCACAATGCAGTGGAATAACGTTAGGAGATGCTGTACATTTGTAGATGGTGACCAACGATCGGTTCATACGCCATTTGTTCCTTCAGGATCCTGGAGCCAGCCCATGTGCACCATTGGTTTGGAATCAGGGTTTTACAACTCCACTAGGTAAATACTCCATATCCACTAACTTGGTTAATGCGTCGGACATTCACTTTCCGTCCTCTCAATTTCGTAAACAATACCCCTGCCACAAGAAGGCGATAAGTAGGACTTCCCTGACAGAGGCTATATACGCGTGGCCATGTGAGAGCATTTCGAGAGGTAGAGCGAACTCTCTCCACTCTTGGTCGTACCAGGGTATTTGGGGACAGTGCAGTCATGTTTTGGCTCTGTCTTTCTTCCTCTGAATTTTAAGTGCTCCAACGATATCGATGATATGATGGGAAGAAAAATCAATTTTCGATTGATTTACTCATTGTGAGTTTCATTCAACATTACATCCATTCTAATTCAATGTGATGATCATTCACTGTAGCAATTGTTTTCTTTTCTCGTATGATATTTTATTCTGTATAATATACGATATTCTTGTATTCCATGGACACGAACTATGCCCAGTCTGTGATTTGTTATAAATCTAAGTATTTTTCATGTGTGTGATTTAATCCTAATTATTAATCAAAAATGGGTGTAAAATCAACATATAAACCAGTGTATTTTAGACTTTTGATCATCGTTGTCGTCGTGCTTTGGGGCTAATAAATATTCACTTATACCAGTCTTGTGTTCTTACTTTCGCATCGTGGGAATTTCAGGGATCCCACGTTCCGAGTATAAGTGATCAGCGATTTTCTGGCACAACGATTGCGACGGCCAAATACAACAATCGAGGTTAGACATAACCAGGCTTAATTAGGAAGTTGCTTAATAAAGACGCTTATGTTTTTTAACTGAAGTGCTTGAGGCATATGCTTAATCATCGCGTACTCTAATAATGGTGAGTGAAGTCCGAGAAGATTATAAAAAGCTTAAGCATACCCAATGTAAGACGTGGCATGAGCCCACGGTCACTGACAGTTCATCTTGGCCGCGTCCGTTGGTGTACATTACTTCGCTAGGGTCCACTTCGTAAACATGATCAGTGGTTAAAAATGTTAGGCGACGACTCTAAATTATTTGGAGTAGCCCAGATTCATTTGTTATTTATACTCCTCTTGATTTTAGGTTTCAACATTCCAATACTTTTTATTTCGCTTGTTTTCGAACCACATTTTTGCGTTTGTCTCCTTTTTATCATCAACACAATTACTATTTTCTCGATGCTTTGATTGTTATCAATTTTATCACTGTACTAATTATCTTATGTGATTGTAATTTGATATATATTTGTGCTGCGTCCTACATTAATTATGACTAACTGATAACCTAAAATCGAGTACCTAAATTATCATAGAAAATCGCCACTGTGGCAGCCTACAATAACTGATATTAAACAAGCCAATAGTGTCTCAGCTTTAATACTTTTAACTAATTATGTTCACGAACTGTCTAGTTTATGCCAAAATTTGTGTCATTACAACTTATTCTGTATGAAATAAACTAGCAAATGTTTGGTGGTTAGAGGTATTTGACGGGAAACAAGGTTGGGGTTCCTACGTGGAGTATAAATTCCCTTAAAATGGAAGGTACGCTTTACTGACAAGTGCCTATTAGCACAGAACGTAGGCTCAGGTTTTTTGTTCTGCAATATATATATCACATTTGTTTCGTAACAACCTACCCTAAATAGTTAACTGAACTGTGGTAGGCAGTATAAAATGTTAACCTATATTCCTTCTCTAAAGACATCTAGACTGTTGGATCAGCGAATCCTCAAGTCATCATTATTCATTCATATCTCTAAAGTATAATGTAACTCATGCCCCCAAATGCCCTGGTACGACCGAGAGTAAGGAGAGTCTGCTCTACCTCTCGAAATGCTCTCACATGGCCACGCGTATATAGCCTCTGTCAGGGAAGTCCTACTTATCGCCTTCTCGTGGCAGGAGTATTGTTTACGAAATTGAGAGGACGGAAAGTGAATGTCCGACTCATTAACCAAGTTGGTGGATATGGAGTATACACTTAGGGGAGTTGGAAAACCCTGATTGTTGGTCACCGGCCACCATGGGACTGCATCTCCTTACGATGCTCCACTGCCTTGTGGATCAGACCTTCAGATTGAAAGCTCCGGGTGTGACCCCCTAAGGAAACCAGCTGCTTCAGTTTGGGCACCCGGTCAGTATCACAGCCCTCACCCCTATCAAATGAGATTTGTGTGGCGCATATGTACTTGGTGCCTCCTTGTGCCAATATCTATGTGTTAAAATACATAAATAATAAATGTAACTCACAGACAATTTAGCAATTTAATGCATCTCATAATATAAACGAACCATCGAATTTATTCAGTTTGTTTTCTACACTTTTTTCAATGATTTATTTGTACCTAACTTTTGATATGTCAACATTTTCCCGATAGTAACAAAAAGTATAATACTTTATCTCTTCATTTAGATTATTTTGCAAATTACCTGTGTTCAAGTACAAATTTCATAATTATGTATTCATAATATATACCCATATATATGTTTATTTATGCACTAATATTTAATGAAAGTAAAAAATGAATGATGGACGATTATCAACAGTTAAAAAGTAAATATGAAAGATTATGTGTGGAATTCAAAAAGGTTTGTTGCTATTCATATTGTTTACATCAAATTGTCTACTTTTGTAGCTTCGTTCAAAGTATAAAACGTTGAAAGACAATGAAAATGAATTAAACCAACAACTACAGGTAAGTATTCGGGTGTAACTTTTTTCTTTAGTTGTATCATTTATGTAATATTTGATAACTTTGAAGTTATCAAAATGTTCCAATCAAGAGTTCAGATAATGCATTGATCTCAGACAAACATTTGAAAATAGGAAGCACTAAACAGCTGTTTCATCCTTATATAAAGCTTCTTGACAATCCCCACCCATCATCTGATCAATGACTAAACCTAGGACGTCCATGTCCCGCGACGAGCGCTTAGCATTTAGAACACTTATTCTGCATTCACTGGTTCACGTGTCTAGTCTTAATAAATTCCTTATTTTGGGCAACCTCCAATCCCACTGGTAGGTAACTGCTTCAAACTTGATATGCTGTTCATGAGTTCTCACTAAAACTTCGGAAGTTACTTCTTAGCATGTATTACTGTCAAACACCTACCAATGAACATGAAGGTTCTGGGTTCGAGCTTTAGTGAGGTAGGTGCAGGCTGTCTAGGAGTACCATAATAAGATACAACAGCTATCCAGCGTCATCTAGTTTTAATTGGATATTTTAATTTATTTCTTTAGACACATAAACATTGGTACAAGAAGGCACCAAATACATATGCACCACACAAATCGAATGATTTGTGTAAGAGCTGAGATATTGCCCGGGCGCCCAAACCGAAGCAGGAGATCACACCACGAGCCTTTGACCTAAAGGTCTAATCCACAAAGCAGTGAAACAATGTCAAGAGATGTAATCCCATAGTAACCGGAATTAAGTTCATACGCTATTTGTTCCTTCAAGATACTTGAGCCCATATGCATCATTGGTTTAGAATCAGGATTTTCCAACTCTCCTAGGTGGATCCTTGATATCCACCAACCCGGTTAAAGCGTTGAATATTCTCTTTTCGTTTTTTTCAATTTCGTAAACAATAGTAATGCTACGAGAAGACAGTGAGTAGGACTTCTATGACAGTGGCGAGCTAACTAACATTGGATTACTATTATTATTATATGCATACAACCTATAACTTGGACTCCTCTACTAACAAGTCTTCTCTTCGGATAACCATTTTTTATATATGTAATTCGGGTATCTTATTCTCTATTCATATATTATATATATTCTATATAGATTTATTATTCATTCTTTACTTTCTTTGAAAATGTAATAAAATATATAGGAGAAACTATTACAAAAAGATTTATATATTGAAAAATTAAAACAAGAAATTGAACAATTAAAATTAAACAATCATAATATTTCTATTAATGGAATTACAAATGAAAATTCAACGAAATTATCATTATTACTAAAAAATATTAACAAGAATAATGATCATTCAAGTCTTATCGATACTGTCAATGTAAATGAAGTGGCAAAGAAATCTATCATTACTCAGGTTAGTAATATGTGGTGTTTGTTTTTTTTTTTGGTTTAAATATGTGAAGCTTCCAAATGCTCGGTACAACCGAGAGTGGGAAGAGTCAGCTTTTGTTCTCGAAATGCTCTCAAGTGATCATGTGCATACAACCACTACCAGGGAAGTGCTACGTATTGTTTTCTCATGGCGGAGGTGTTGTTTACGAAATCAAGAGAACGAAAAGCGAATGTCCAACGCTTTAACTGGGTTGGTGGATACGGATAGTCCGTCTAGGAGAGTAAACCCTGAGCTCGTTTACAATGGTGCAGGTGCATCCACTCTTTGTGTTCTCCCAAATTCTAATCTTCTGAATTCTTTATGTCCCTTTTTTTCCTCTTTCGAAATTTATTTCAGTAGATTATACTCCTTGAACAACATCTTGAAACCCTAATGTTTCCGATTACTGCTTATACTCTTACTACTTCTACCACTATGGGATTTGGATCGACAACTGCATCTCTGTGCTAATGTGGTATGGCAACTCGAACTGATGTACATACGTACGTAGTTCTATGTTGTTACTGACTGAATGAAACCCTGAGCTCCAGGATCATGACGGAACAAATGGTGTATGAAGCAATTATTGGTCACTGGTTACCATGAGACTGCATCTCCTGACGTTGCTTCACTGTCTTGTGGATTAGACCTTGTTATAGCCAGAAGCCGCCAATCAGAAGAAGCGAATTATCGATTGGACCAAGGACGCGTAAAACACGTGCGAGAAGCCTAGAGTCCTGGTTGGTCCTGCTTTCCGCCTAGCCCAGCCAGTTAAGTCCAGAACACCAATCTCAGCCTCTGCAATATGAATCATATCTCAAACATACTGAGTTTATATACCAATCAGACAGACCACAACGTACCAATAAAATATGAAACAACATTTGTACAAGAATTAGCCAGATGTGGCTGTGAATGAGGGAGGTAGTAATTAATATACTGGGTATAACTCAAGAATGGTAAAACGTATAATAATGGTTCATAAGTCAAAATAAAGCTTATACTAAGAGGAATATGAATATGCATAGTCTAGTTACTTAATAATTATACAATGGAAATATACGTTTAGTATTGGTCCCCATCAATAGATCCCAAAAGTTACCATTCATTATTCTTTTCGGGACATAACAGACCTTTAGGTCAAAGTTTCGGGGTGTGACCCCCTAAGAAAACCACCTGCTTCGGTCTGGGCACTCGGGAAGTATCACAACCCTCACACAAGTCCGATTTGATTTGTGTGGCGCATATGTATTTGGTGCCTCCTTGTACCAATATCTATGTGCTCAAATAATAATAATAATAAAATTTTGAATAATTATCTTCTGATACTCATATATATCAACTTATTATTTTAAATGAATAGGAAGTAAATAATAATTTGCATCAAACGACACTATTAGATGCTTCTTATACACCTATCCATATCACAAAACATAATTCATTTCCCATGGTAACTAATGATAATTCAACAAATTCGACTCTATCATCTCCCACTGATATTTGTCATGATATTATTGTGGATACCTATAATAAATCATCCAGTTTAAATTTACTTCCATCTAAATCTTTATTATCATCGTTATCATCAAAATTACCATCTTCATCTTCATCATCATTTCTATCTGAAGATACATTAATGATAACAAATACAACGATATCTATTCCTACTACTCCTAGTACTACTACCACTTCTACTTCTACTCCTAGTACTACTACTGCTACTTCTACTACTCCTAGTACAGCTACTGCTACTTCTACTACTCCTAGTACTACTACTGCTACTTCTACTACTCCTAGTACTACTACTGCTACTTCTACTACTCCTAGTACTACTACTGCTACTTCTACTACTCCTAGTACTACTACTGCTACTTCTACTACTCCTAGTACTACTACTGCTACTTCTACTACTCCTAGTACTACTACTTCTACTACTCCTAGTACTACTACTTCTACGTCTACTCCTAGTACTACTACTACTTCTACTACCAGTACTACTACTACCCTTAATCTTTCATCTTCTTATGATCAAGATTGGACATTCATTGTAAATACAGAAGAGAAATTAATTGAACAATTTGTACAATTACTAAATAATTGGATCAATTCAATGAAAACAAATCAAAATTTATCATTCATAAATAAAGAAAAAGTAGATCATATTCTTATGAATCGTATTACACAATTAGAAAGTCAATTATGTGAAATTTCATTACAATATCAATTGGAACGTAAACGTCGATTAAAAGAACAATCAGTTAGTTAAATTGTTATTTACTTTTTAATTTGAACATAGTTAATCATTCATTCTTTGTATTCTATTTAAGGATTGAGCTTCAGAAACTTTTGTAAGAGTGTCAGTCAATTAGTCAGTTGTGATAACATGATGACTAACCCCTAATACCCTGGTACGACTGAAAGTGGGGAGAGTCAGCTCTCCCTCTCAAAATGCTCTCATATGGCCACGCGTATACAGCCACTGTCAGGGAAGTCCTACTCACTGTTTTCTCGCGGAACGATTGTTGTTTACGAAACTGAAAGGATGATTCACCTAGTAGAGTTGGAAAACCTTCATTCCAAAGCAATGGTGAACATGGGTTCCAGGATCCTAAGGAAACAAATGGTGAATGAACCAATTATTGGTGACCGACTATCATGAGACTGCATCTCCTAACGTTGCTCCACTGCCTTGTGGATTAGACCTTTAGATCAAAGGTTTGGGGAGTGACTCCCTAAGAAAACCATCTGCTTCTTTTTGGGCTCCCGGGCAATATCCTAGCTCTCACACAAATCGAATGTAGTTGTGTATTACTTCCTAGTTGCGCACACTGTGAAAAAATACTTTCTATTGAGGAACCTGAAAAGGAAATCGAATTACGTGTAGTTTTAATTAACTGACAAGAGAGCTTATAGTATAGCTACTTGAGATCAGTCACACACTGATCTTTCTGTAAGAAGTTTGTAATGTGTTAAACTCATACTTTTTAGAATTTAATCGCCAGTAACAGAAATCCATGGAGTAATATATCACCTGGTTATTTTAGGGCTAATCTTGTTTAGTTCTTCTGTCCCTTTTGGTAAGTTAGCATCGCTACAAATGCTGATTATCTGAGCAAATCACCTTACTCCTGTTACTTACCAGTACATTCGACAGTAGGTTTTCACTCTCGAACCTTATGTTTGCTGCTCACACTCTTATTACTCCCTAACAGACTTGTGTGGTATAGTAGGACCCAAAAAACTATTGTTCCACCTAATATTTCCGGCTGGCTCGCTGTTACTGCATTCAAACACCACGACAAGTTGGAATGTAATAATTGTGTACATCTATTGTCTTTCGATTTTCGAGTTTTCTGTAATAACTCTCCTTTACAACATTCCTACCTTAAATTACGTAATGATTTTATGTGTGTATTGTACGTATGTTCAATTTTATTATTATTATTATTATTATTATTATTATTATTATTATTATTATTATTATTATTATTATTATTATTATTATTATCAAAGCAGTCAGAAACAAAGGACGACGCTAAGCCTATTGTTCACAATAGTCAGGTGAGTGATTCAAACGATCCTGAGCAATTATCTAGTAGTAGTAATGGAAAATCTGATGAAACTACTAATCCACATAAAGTAATAATGAAACGTTTACATAAAGCCATTGAAGAATCAATTTATTTCGCTTCAAGAGCTAATCTCTTACAGGATGAAGTAAGTTGACCCTCTTGTCTTACATGATTTTTGTTTTATAAGATTAATAATAAAACATACTTATCAAAATTGTATGCTTTTGTAATTGTCCAGATTGTCCTAAAATGCCCTGGTACACGATCGAGAGTGGGGAGAGTCCGCTCTCCCCTTTGAAACGCGCTCATATGGCCACGCATATTGATATGACGGGAAGAGAAGTCAAATTTCCCCGTCGCCAGTTGTTATATCTATAGATGCTTATATTCTTGATACGACACGTATACCTTGAGCACTTGGACGCTAGAACCCTTCCAAGTCACAATGAGAAGACAGAAGACTAGTGAAAGGAACGATATTCCAGACAATGTCGACGAACTTGTCGAAATCACACTCATTTATTTATGTGATTTCATCCTAATTATTAATCAAAATGGGCGTACAATCAATATATGAATGAGTGTGATTTCGACTAGGTCGTCGTCGTGTTTTGGGGTTAATAAATCTTCACTTAAACCAGTTTTTGTGTTCTTACTTTCACGTCGTGTGAATTGCAGAGGTCCCTCGTTTCGAGTATAAGTGATAAGAGTTTCCGACACAAAAATCAGCGACGACCAGATATAACAAGTAAGCATTAAACTGACAACTTATAACAATTGACGATGGCGTGAAAAAAGAGCCAAGACAATCAGTATACAGAATTCTCTCTGGTGTCCGTGAACGACATTGATTGTTAGTTAAGTCATACAGTGTTTTTCATTACCGTGCTGATTCAGAAAATGGCTATCTCTTCCGATCAATTACAGTTGCTATTTAAGCGACAACAGCAGCGTTTCCAAAAGAGGTAGTTCAATGTTTTAGACAATTCACGCACACGGCTGCTAAATCATCCATGTTTTGGAGATGTGACAGTTGATAAATTAATTTCTAATTTGCATAAAGAGTTGGAAAATGACTGCAGGATGTGTGAACGTATTGATGAAAGCTTCCGTGAATCCTTGATAAGCGGTAACGTAAACGAAGTAGTAGCAGTCATTCATGATGCGCCTAGTGGTCCAGAAATATCTATTTCAGAGACATGCCCTGTCGTGGGTTCAAATCCCATTGTCCCCAAAACACCATGTACAAACACTGACTTGTCCAGCTCACAGAAAGACGACGTCCATCAGGGAAGTTCTACTCACTGCCTTCCCGAAATGGGGGTGTTTTTCACGAATTCGGGAGGGCGAAAAGCGGATATCCGACGCCTTAACCGGGTCGGTGGATATGGAACATCCATCTAAGGGACTTCGAAAACCCTTATTCCAAACCAGTGGTGCACATGGGCTCCAGGATCCCGAAGGATCAAATGGCGTATGAACCAATTATTGGTTACCTGCTATCATGAGATTACACCTTCTGACGTTGCTCCATAGCCTTGTAAATTAGACCTTTAAGTCAAATGCTCAGAGTGTTTCACCTTAAGAAGACCACCCGTTTCGATTCGGGCACCTAAGAGTATCCCAGCTTATACACAAATCAAGTGACTTGTGTGTCGCATATTTACTTGGTGTCCATTAGTACCAATATTTATGTGTTCAAATAAATAAATTGAATTTACTGACAAGGAAACAATCATTTGCTACTTATCACAGATACATTTTTATGCAAAATTTATGTTAATTAGTTATTTCTATGTTTATATATTGTTAACATTGCTACTTGTTCATTGTTGATAATATAAGTCAGACCTTCAGTTTCATGATCAATAATAATAACAATAAAAAGTAACCAATTAGAATAGTGAATGTTGTCCATTTGTACACAAACGCTAATACACCTTGTAAAAGTCTAGTTTTGTGTGACATTTTGTCGGATACTATCTCTCTCTCTCTCTCTCTGTCTATTATCATGTTAACGATCAGTTTCCTTGATGATAATTTAATGAAGTCGTACTGAATAAGTTTTCATTGTACGTCCGTGATACACATTCAATTAGTTAACCATAAGTAATATGAAACATTGTGTGTGAGTTCAAGCTGTTACATGTTCATTATATATGTGTGCAAAGTTAGCTATTAAATCAGAGATAAACTACCAAGGTGTTTGTAATAATTAAGGTGAACACCAATGCCACTTTACTAACCGATTGTTGAATGTTTCAAATGTATATAACCGTTGTTGACTAAGGCATACTTCATTAGCTATACTACAAATTCTTAAGGCTAATTTCACACTTTTCTATTCTATTCATTGATAAGTAAAATCCTCACCATGGGATTGTGAAAATTGTTCAGTTTTTTATTAAGATCATGAATCGATCGATGTTAGATCACCATTGAACACCTGGAAGCAATCAACAGCCATTTCATCCTAGTATGGAACTGATGAGCAATGCCTATCCATGATCGTACACGCGGAGCTCGAACCCAGGACCGTCGATTTTGCGCATAACTACTTAACCTCTCGACCACTGAGTTGGTATCTAACGGTATTAATACCTAACCTCAACCAATCCATGAAATTGCACGATCATCCATTGTACTGAGGTAGATACCTGTCTCTTCAACCAACACCAAGGTCAGAATTTTCAATACAAATGTCAAGACAGTTCTACTGTATGGGGCGGAAACCTGAAGAACTACGAAAGCTATCATCCAGAGAATACAATTGTTTATTAACAGTTGTGTACGCAAAATACTTCGGATCCGTTGGCCGGACACTATTAGCAACAGCCTACTGTGGGCGAGAACAAACGAGATCCCAGTGGAGGAAGAAATCAGGAAGAAGCACTGGAAGTGGATAGGACACACATTGTGGAGAGCACCCAACTGCGTCACAGCGCAAGCCCTCACTTGAAATCCTCAAGGCCAAAGGAAAAGAGGAAGACCAAAGAACACATTACGCCGGGAAATGAAAATAGACATGAGAAAAATGAACAAGAATTGGATGGAACTAGAAAAGAAGGCCCAGGACAGAGTGGGTTGGAGAATGCTGGTCGGCGGCCTATGCTCCATTAGGAGTAACAGGCGTAATAATGATGATGATGATGATGATGATGAGATACCTGTCTCTACCTGACACAGATATTAGCTTCACTCACTAGTCCTTGTTTAAACACTATTCTCTTATATATTTTGATCATTTACTCTCTTCATCTATAAGAATCATAAATATGTTATTGTTTTGTCTTATTATTTTTTTAAAGTTAGAATCTCTTATCCCATGGATATTACAACTATTTCATTTACATCAAAAACAACAATATGAAATGAAAACAATGAAACAATATAATGAACAATTAAAACAACAATTAGAATCAATTAAAATAAATACAATTAAACAAATTAATGAAATGGCTAAACATATAAATAATTTAACTGAAGAATTACAAACAATTCGATTAAATTCATTAACAAATCATCATTCTCATAATAGTTTTAATAAAGAACAACAACAACAACAATCAAATTGTTTATCACTTCATTCAAATGATAATCAAGTTAAGAAAGTAAGTAATACTGTTTAGTTTAGTAACATAACTAACTTTGTACATGGAGAACTGCCCTGGTTAGTAGTGTTCCCAAATCCCCTGGTACTGTCGAGAGTGGGTCGAGTTTACTCTCCCTCTCCAAATGATTTCATACGTCCATGCGTATACATCCACTGTCAGGGAAGTCTCACTCACTACCGTCTCGAAACATTACTGTTGTTTATGTGATTGAGAGGACGAAAAGCGAATGTCCCACGCTTTAACTGGATTGGTGAACAGTGAGGGTTCACCTAGAGCAGTTAGAAAACTCTGATTCCAAACCAATAGTGCACATGGGCTCCAAGATCCTGAGGGGAACAAACGGCACATGAATCTAATGTTGGTGACTGGCCACCATGGGACTGCATCTCCTGACGTTGCTCCATTGCCTTGTGGATTAGGCCTTCCGGCCGGAGGTTCCAGGTGTAGCCCCCTAAGAAAATCACTTGCTTTAGTTTGGGCACCCGGTCAATATCACAGCTCATACATAAATCAAATGACTTTTATGTGTCGCATATGTATTCGGTGCCCTTTTGTACCAATATTTATGTGTTCAAATAAATAATAATAAATCACAAATTAATTAGTTGGAAGATAGCTAGTTAAATTGTGTGAAACAACCTACTCCTCTATCTCCAATTCTATATACACTGGAAGATTGATTTCTTCACTGACAACTAGAACTCATGAAGAGTATTGGATAACAGTTTTGTTCTGGTTAGAAACTTATTTAGCAGCACACAACTATGACCTCCATTATACTAAGACTGAATGTTGTTTAGTTCTCATGGTAAACCTGTTACAAGTCACCACATTTCCGATTTTCGATATATTAGAGTTTATACTAAATGTATCCATATTTCACAAATAATCATTCAACTACTTAATCTTTTTAGCTTATTTATTTGAACACATAAATATTGGTACAAAGAGGCCATGTGAAAGCACTTGGAGAGGGAGAGCGGACTCCCCAACTCTCGGTCGTACCAGGGTATATTAAAGGATAGAAACCATTCAATGAGGAAAATTTTCTTTTCAATGAAGTTCTTTACTAAGACTAATAATTTAACATATATAGTAGTCTCTTAGAAAATAAAGCTAATTGTATTCTGACATAAATTGTTTGCAAATATCAACTATATTCAGTGGTTCGAGGAAGTTGGTGCGAACTCCTAAACACTTCGGTTTCATGTCATTCCAATAGTTGTTAGCAAGACGAATCTGTATTCTTGAAGAAACTGACACTTTCTGTAGAATCCAAGCCCACACCACCTATTCTTACAGGGGTTTTGCCACCGAACAACGTAGGTCTATAGTTTGCTCCCGACCAATTCAAGCTGCTTAACATCAAGATGCCATGTCTTTTCACTTAAACTACTGGCCATATTTCAGCTTGATGAATAGAATTCAATGAACACTAAGGACTGGAAAAACATAACATTTTTCACTACACAGTGGTCGGTCACTAATAAATATAGAATACTGAACGGAGGTTACGTAGTAGTCTGAATGCCAATAAGAAATGGGATTAAGACCCAGGTAGAGTAAGAGATTGAATATGGTACTTTTCTATACAGAGTTTAGGCTTGAATCAGTGGGTTACTTAAATGTCTGCAGTTTATAAGTTTTTGATTTTATGCAGTCTAAACCAGTTCTTCTGACTACATGGATGACTTTAAATGAGGATTTTGATGTCATGACATGATCAGGATTTACAACATATTCAGGAATTGAGCTACTGATAGGCTAGCATTCTCCATCTGAATAAAGAATGCATAGAGGTATGTTTTGTATGGGCTTACTCTGTGGGGCCCATATGTGTCTCAAAGTCGGGTGACTTGTCCCTAACATACCCATAAATCCATTATCGACTAGAAAAGTGTATACGAACTTCGATAAAGTTGGATTGTTCCCAAAAGCCTCCAAAAATTTGTTGTTTTTTTCATCATCTTTACAGCGGTCTTATCGCATCTTGATTCGATATTCATAAAGAAGATTATCTATTTGAATAATCTTTCACATTGTTTTACTTTCAAGTTTCTAAGACGACAGACATCACCTGTTGAATTTTGTCCAACTAATTATTGGTTATGTCATCGATGCAGTTTATCTAACCTTTGAGGATATAGAGTAAACTAAGTTCTTCCTCTAGCTCAGTGGAAAATTGTAGTAATAATAGTATCGTAGAGTTCCGTCTATTTGCAAAGTTGTTTTATGCTCTATGTTTTGGGGATGTTAGATCCCTAGACTCAGAATCGATCACAATGGCGTCGGTGTATACACTCTCTGTCTTCCCTTAAACTAAGAGATTAAATTCTCTTCATATCTTTCTTTCTACGAACGAATTCTTTCGTCCTATACTATATCCTTATTGCAATCTTTCTTTTATATATTACCACCTCTGAATTAACTACTTTTATGAATCCGGTGTCCATCTTGTTGTGTTCATGAGGTATGGCAACTTGGACCGATGTATATATGTGCCTGATCCCACGTTGTAGCTGACTGACTGACTAGATCCCTAGAACTCACTTGGTAAATACCTTATTTTTGTAAATTTATTTTAAAAATTTGAATTTCTTGTTTTCACGCCAAAAGCCTTCATTTTCACCTTCATTTCATATTTCCCACTTGGGAAAATCTTAAACGCTATTAGTTCGTTGTTTCTTTCAATATGTTATTTTGTGACACTTCTCGAGGACAATTTCATGCTGTCTATATACGTTTGATTTGTGCCTCTTGTGATTGCAACTCCGCCTGGAGCGCGGATCGGCAAAGCAACAGCAGCATACCTACAATTGAAGGATGTCTGGAACTCAAAACAACTGTCTGTTAACCAACACTAAAGTCAGAATTTTCAATACAAATGTCAAGATAGTTCTACTGTATGAGGCGGAAACTTGGAGAACTACGAAAGCCATCATCCAAAAGATACAACTGTCTATTAACAGCTGTCTACGCAAAATATTTCGAATCTGTTGGCCAGACACTCATCAACAGCCTACTGTGTGAGAGAATAAACCAGATCCCAGTGGAGGAAGAAATCAGGAAGAAGTGCTGTAATTGGATAGAACACACATTGTAGAGAGCACCCAACTACGTCACAACGCAAGCCCTCACTTGAAATCATCAAGGCCAAAGGAGGAGAAAAGGAAGACTAAAGAACACATTGCGTCGAGAAATGGAGACAGATATGAGAAGAATGAACAACAATTGCATAGAACTTGGAAGGAAGGCCCAGGACAGAGTGGTTTGTAAAATGCTGGTCGGCAGTCTATGTTCCACTGGGAGTAATAGGCGTAAGTAAGTATTGTGATTGCTCGTGATTTTGGCTGCTTACGGAATATATTTCCCCATTTCGAACTTGAACTTCTCTCTTTATTTAACCGGGGGGGGGGCTAGGACGCATCAGAATAGCTAACTTATTGGTTTTTGGTCACAAAGTCTTTGTTCCGTTCTCATAACTAGGTAAACTCATAATCACTTCCAAACATAGCATCATATAAATCTTTTATGCGTATAATTAATAGTAAATTCATACTGTCATTTAATCATTTATCTCAATGGTTAAGATCATGAGTTAGTTGAAGCTAGGCCATCATAGAAAACCTGGAAGCACTGGACGGCCGTTTCGTCCTATTGTGGGACTCCTCAGCAGTGCACACCCACGACCTCGCCTTCTGCGAGATTCGAATCCAAGACCTAGTGGTTTCGCGCGCGAGCACTTAACCACTAGGCCACTGAGCCAACCAGTATCCAACGCTGTTAATGTCTAACTCCAACTAATCCACGAAATTGAGCGACACATTCACCATTTGTCTTCAGTGAGTTACTATCTCACAACAGACCTGGTTAAACTTCATTGATCACTACTTCTGATTCATGATCTTAACCATTGAAATTACTATAATATATGCACAAAACCCATCTGATATTAATCATTTATCTATTTTATTCTTTTTTTTATATATATATAGACTACATTATTTAATGTATTGAGAAAATGATCTGTTGTGTGTATATATATATACCTTCCATATTGCCTCCATTCATTTTAACCACTTATGTAATCATCATAAATATCAATCAAATTTCAATCGACTATATCCCAATATGTATATTCACAGATATCATTATGATGATTCGATATATATATATATATATGTAAAAAGGGATTGGATTCATTGTGTCTGTGTCTCTATCTCTGTGTATGTACTATGAGCCCCTATGATTAATTATTGATTATGTAACATTAAATTTTTTTATTGTTTTCATTTAGATAAACAAATTATTGTAAAACACAACAGCAACAACAACAGATTTTTCAGTTTTTCTATAATCATGTTTTTCATTAACAATATTTAAATAGTTTTAAGAGAGAAAGAGAGGGGTGAACTTCTTTAAAAAATAAAAAATGATTTTTTTCTTGTTGCCAAGTTTTGTTTCTATTTAAAAATATTATTCTGATATTTATTGATTAGTAGGATTAATTTTGTTTATCTTTTTTTTTAAAAAAAAATTATTTGATAAAATAATTAAAATTTTATTCTAAAAAAATATACGATTTTTTAAACTTGGAAACTTAATGACTGAATCACATAAATATTGGTACAAAGAGAGCTATCCGGATGCCTAAAACGAAGTAGATGGTTTTCTTAGAGGGGGGCAATACACACGGAGCCTTCAACCTTGAAGGTCTAATCCACAATGCAGTGGAGCAACTTTAGGAGATGTAGTCTCATGGTAACCGATCATCAATAATTGTTTCATATATGATTTGATCCTTCAGAATACTGGAACCCATGTTCACTATTGGTTTAGAATTAGGGTTGTCCAACTGCTTTAGATGGATCCTCTATACCAACCAAACTGATTAAAGCTCCGGACATTCTCTTTTCGTGTTGTCAATTTCGTAAACAATAATGATGCTACGAAAAGGCAGTGAGTAGGACTTCTCGGACAGAGGCTGTATACTCGTGGTCATGTGAGAGCATTTTGAGACAGAGAGCTGACTCTCCTCACCCTCGCTTGCTCGCAACCAATAACTTCGTTACATTTAAGATAATTTATTGGGTATATATAATAATCGGTTTATGAAGTGGCGTTGGTGTTCACCTTAATGATTACAAACACCCTGGTAGTTTATCCTGATTTAATAGCTAACTTTGCACACATATATAATGAACATGTAACAGCTTGAACTCATACACAAAGGCTCATATTCTAAAATCTCCACAAAACCCCTTCTGATAATAATCATCTGCTCATTAGTGACTCACTTCCAGAGATACTCCTGGAGTTCTAGTGAGAAGCCATTAACCAGTGGAGTTCAACTAGGTCTGTTGTGAGATATCAGCTCACTGAAGACAATGGTATGCGGTAACGCAACTTCGTGGATTGGTTTAAGTTAGACATTAACACTATTGGGTTCCGGCTCAGTGGTCTAGTTGGTTAAGCGCTTGGTGCGAGACTGTTAGGTCCTGGGTTCGAATCCCACGGGATGCGGGATCGTGGATGCGCACTGCTGAGGAGTCTCATACTAGGAAGAAACGACCGTCCAGTGCTTCCAAGCTTAATTGAATGTGTATCACGGACGTACAATGAAAACTTACTAAGTACAACTTCATTAAATTATCATCAAGGAAGCTGGTCGCTAAAATGATAATAGACACAGAGAGAATCTGACAAAATATCACAAAACTAAACTTTTACAAGGTGTATTAATGTTTGTGTGCAAGTGGACAACATTCACTATTCTAATTAGTCTTACTCATTGCCTTCTCTCGGCGGGGGTGTTGTTTAAGAAATTGAGAAGATGAAAGGCGAATATCCAGCGCTTTAACGGGATCGGGAGACACTGAGGGCCCACCTAGGAGAGTTAGAAAATCCTGATTCGAACCATTTGGTGCACATGGGCTTCAAGATACTGATGGAACCAAAGGCGTATGGGCCTATAGTTTGTGACCGGCTACCATGGTACTGCATTTCCTAACGCTACTCTATTGCTTTGTGTATTAGACCTTCAGGTCAAAGGCTCGGTGTGTGACACCTTCAGAAGAGCTGCTGCTTCTGTTTGAGCACCCTAGCAGTATCCCAGCCCTCACTTGAATGATTTATATAACACATATCTATTTGCTGCTTCCTTGTACCAATGTTTGTGTTTTTAAACGAATAGAGTAAAATTGATCTTCTTAAACTTATCAAGTGCTTATATTTTAATGTATAGATTTCCCAGAACATGTGAATCAGTCTGTTTTTATTTCACTCTACCTCTTTCTATAATGAACTCGCAAACAAACTGTTTTAATGATGGTTCACTGAATAATAGGTGAGCTTGGAATGCTAAAGTAAATAACAAATTTAACGCATAATATCTGCATATCGATGTGCGGACAACAAAAGTTTTCATACAACTTCATCATTATAAATCTTCAGTGAATCTACCGATAAAGATTTTGTAGGCAATCCTGAATTTTAGGCAAAGATGAATGGTGACTAACAGTGGAATCCAGGATGCATGTTTCGTCCTATTTGGGGCTCAGTAGCTAAGTGGATAACGCGATGGCGTTTGAAGTGAACGGTACTGGGTTCGAGTTCCAGAGTGAACATCAACTCTGAGATGCAGCTGACAAGTCTCAAATAGGATGAAACGCGCGTCCTGGACTTCACTGCTAATCTTTCCTTATAATGCTTGTGAATTAAGGTAATACGCACAGTATACATATATGCCAATAAGAGACTGATCGATTGCATTCCTAAACATCAATGAGAAGATTCAAGTAAAAAATATCAAGTGAATGGTGAATTTTTCTATTAAATCATTTATGACTATAAAGAATATGCAGGACGAAACATTTAATATGAATAAATTCATATTGATGATGCTACATACTATAACTTGTGGGTTTGTGCCCCTATCAATGTATGGCGTAATGATACCGCCAATTAGAGAACAGTCAATTATTGACTGGACCAATGACAAGTAAACCCGTACGAGCAGTCTACAGTCCTTATCAGTCCTTCTCCCTGCCTAGCCATACCTGTTAGAGGCCAGAACTCCAATCTCAGCCTCTGTGATATGAATCATGTGTTTTCAGTCAAAAGTGTCTGTGGATGTGGGGGACTGTAATTAATAGAATAGTAAATGGTCTAATAATAGTTCATAGGTCAAAATAAAACTTATAATAAGAGGAACACGAATATGAATAGTTAAGTTGCTCAACAATTATACAATAAGAATATATATAGTATTAGTCCAGAAATAGATTTCAACAGTTACCATTCAATATTCTTATCGTGATATAACACTACGTAGTTATATTTCTCAAGTGCTTTGATTGAAGACTGATGATAAGCCTTGAAAAACTAGAAGACTTCATAAAACTACCAAACTGCACCACATTTTATTACTTCTGTTGTAAAGTAATTTTAGTGTATACAGACTCTCCTCAATGTCTGAAAAGTGACTTTAAAAACATATGGTCATCTTGAGAAGACTTCAAGCCCATCTTTATGCTGTACTTTTACTATTATCCTTATAAATATTATTTACAAAAAATGCGATTATATCATTTTCTAATCCAAGCATTCAGATGGATCAGGACTGCTAACGCTTGACGTCAGAAACGAGGACTTCTAGTCAAGGTACCTTGGTAACACCTTAAGCAATAAATATTTGGTTAAAATCTCAATATCGACTTAAGCTGAAAAATAAGAAACTCAGAGCATCAGTTTCATCATTGTTCCAAATTTATTTGCACTATGAGTCGTAATTTCCATGAGGATTAGGGTCTAAAACATAGTACTAATGTCTAGAAATTCTAACCACTGGTTCCAGTCTTGTGATTAGACAATGTGTTGCTTCTCACCAGACTTCAAGATTTAGTGTTATGTGTGTGATATGCAGTACTTAAAAGAACACTTAACTAGAACAGAACGGTTACTTCATACGTTTCAGGTTTTCATTTTCGATCAGTCTACGTTGATTTCATCATACATCGCTTTAATGTCAGGAGTTGTATTATATGTGATATAGTCAGCGTTCAAAGGCACACAAACCAGAAAAGTGACTTAAACCATTTTTTTCCATTGACTAGTAGGTTCTAATCTTGAACTCCTTTCTAAATAAACACACTACAACAACCGGATATTATATGCCTAGGATTTTAGATCGGTATCCAACTTCTAATCCTAATAACTTGTTCTTAAGTCACTGTCGAACTAACTAATTAGGCGTTCAGTATTGAAAACATATGTATTTCTAATCGATATGTGAATAATAAATTGATTATCAATATTCTATTACTGTTGAACTTGATTGGATTTATCTTTTTATAATTGAGTTTATATTAGTTGAAAATGATCTGTTTCTTGTTGGGACGGCTTCCAAGAACTACGATGGAGCCTCCATAGACCCTAGAGGAGCCGGAGAGTTCCATCCCATCAGAACGTAATGGAGCTTTTCAGAATGTCAACATGGCATGCTACTATTCGCCAGTAGCATAACACACCTCTTTGCGAATTAGTTGAATAATAATATTGATTTAACAAACGCTAATATCTATAAATACCCATGATTTTCTGTACAATTTGATTCTTGCATAACAATCACTTTCTCTAATCTTCTTTTGTCTTCTTCTTCGCGACTTGGAAGGTTCTAGTGTTCGATTGCTCACGTTATTCGCAGTATATTAAGAATCTAAGCTCTAAATATAACATTTCTTAGATGAAATTTTAACGATTAGAACAATGTAGTGATGAGCAAAGATGGCTAGTGGCTAGCAGTGGAATCCAGGACGCGCGTTTCGTCCCGTTTGGGACTCGTCAGCTGGATGTACCTGCATCTCAGGGTTGATATTCACCCTGGGACTCGAACTCATTACCGTTCGCTTCAAACGCCATCGCGTTATCCACTTAGCTACTGAGTCCTGATAGCCACTTGCTTGTGCAAGTGAACATCAACTCTGAGATGCAGGTACATCCAGCTGACGAGTACCAAACAGGACGA